CGCCCCCGTCCTCCTCCAGACTGTCCTGAGTAGAAAGCCACCACACCTGGGTCCTGTGGTCACTGGGCTGGTGTTAACGTGCAGGCCGTGTCCTCACCTCGTCCGCGGGGGTGTCAGGGGTCCATAACCCCTTCCGCAGACAAGGAGCCAGGGCCAGCAGGAGGCCGGCTCGGAACAGGTGCCCTGCTCCCCTTTGTCGGGACCTGGGGGTGCAGCTCCAGGCCTGCCGTGGGCACACTGCCGACCCAGACACTGCACGCAGGATGGGTGACCCAGCCGGTGGGCCAGGAACGGGATCAGAGCAGGGTAAAGACTGACCTTCAGCAAAAACGGCAGGGTAGCCTGGCCACGTACACCTGCCGCCTCCGGGCGACCCTGGGAGGAGGGGGGCGTGGGCTGCGGCCTCTCTGTTTCACAGGTGAGCAGACCCAGGCTCAGGGAGGGGCGGGGGGTCTGGCCTGGGTGCCCCGCCCATACAGACATACCCACATGCGCACACATATATGTACACTAGTGTTCACTCAGTCACGCAGACACACACACTGGAGAGGCAGCGAGCCGCTGGCGGTGCCTGGCCTGTGGCCGGCTGTGGCCGGCTGTGGCGTCTGTCCCCACTGGGCTGCTCTTTCCCAGCCCAGCCTTTCTGTTCTGGCCCCGCCCTGATAGTGTGGCTGGTGCCCCCTCCCCCTTCAAAATCCAGGAGGAACCGTCCCACGAGAGCACGCTAGCTGCCCCGTGAATGGGGCCCAAGACCACGTGGTCTGGCCCCCTCCCCTGCAGCCACCCCTGCTCTCCCCCCACACCCGCTCCGAGCTGCTTGTGGTACGTAGGAAATCCGCACATTGTTCTCCTCGGATCAGAAAATAGCAGCGGCCTCAGGAAGCAGCGAGACCCCCCCCACCCCAGGAATCCTACTCGGATGCTGGTCAGCAAATTGTCCTGCGGAGCCCCTGCCCTCCCCCTGCCCCAACAGCCTTGAGTGCTCAGAGCGTCGCCCCAGGGGAGGGGGGCCCACGGCCGGGGTCTCTGCAGCCCCACCGGGGGTGGTCAGGCGAGGGGCCCTGTTGCAGACCCATCTACCGTTCGGGGTCAGAGTCAGAGGCGGGGGGGCGGGGCTGTGATAAGAGGTGCCTGTGACCTGCGGCCTCCCCAGCTCTGCCCTCCTTGTGGGATCGGCAGCTGAGGGCAGCACAGCCCCTCCAGAGGCCCCGCAGAAATGCCCGGGAAAGCACTGATGTGAGGGGCAGGCCCAGGGCGCGGTGGCTGCAGGGCCAGTGGGTGCCCAGACCTCCAGCTCCTCCTGTGGAGGAGGGAGCCCACTCCGGCCGCCCTCCGTCTCGGGCCTCCCTGCGCTGACCCCTTGTACTCCCTCCACCCTCTGCGGGCCGTGCTCGCCGCTGCGCCCGGCGGGAAAGGTGGGCAGGGGACGCTGACGGGGCCTTCTCTCGTTTCAGCTGCGTGGTGGACGAGATGGACTTCTCCACCATGGAGCTGGACGAGGCCCTCCGGAAGTTCCAGGCGCACATCCGGGTCCAGGGGGAGGCCCAGAAGGTGGAGCGGCTGATCGAGGCCTTCAGGTGGGGGCGGGGCAGGTGTCAGGTAGAAAAAGCGTCCCTGCTCGAAGACCACCGAGGCTCAAGGGCAGACCCCCCTTTCAGGGTCAGGTGGCCATGAGCTATCAGGGGACGGGGGTGCGGGGGGAGGCGGCCCTTCCTCTGCCACGTGCTGTGCGGCTCAGTGCTGGAGCCAAGGCCTCGAACGCCTTCGTGGTCCTCTCATCCCCACTGGTTCTCGAGTCCATCTGTGTCGTCACTCGTCTGCTCATTCACAGGGGCAGATGCTCCCTCAGTGACGCAGAGGGCGTGGTTCTGACACCCGCACCACTGTGTGACCTTGCTTTGGTTACTTAACCTCTCTGTGCCTCACGTCCTTGCCAGTAGAGAGGGGTTGTTGAACGCACCTACCCTGGAGGGGGTGGAAGGATTAAACCACTCGGGCCGTGTGGGTGCACTCCGCCCAGCGCCTGGCCCCCCAGAGAGCCTGCAGTCAAGGCAGGCTGTCCTTGCGCCATCTTCCATGCTGGGATGGTGTGCACACTGGCCGCATAGGGCGTCCGTGCCCCGCGCTGGGTGTGGGAGACCCAGCCCTCTGGGCTCAGCAGGGGTGGTGTGTTCACAGAGGGGCGAGGTCGCAGGAGGAGGAGCCCCGGGCCCTGGGAGGGAAGCATTCAGACACTTCCATTCAGGAGGGCTTCCTGGAGGGAGCGGCACTTAACAGGGAAGACGAAATTGAAGCCCACCTCGTCTAAGCGCCCATGGCTGCTGCCTGCGGGTTGTGGGCCTCGATCATGGTGCCCCACCCAGTTCCTCTTCCCCATCCCTGCCCCACCCGCCTGCCCCTGCACAAGGTCGCCAGCGGAGGGAACTGTGGGGTGGGGTGTGGGGCGTATTCAAGGCAGTGAGGACGTGAGCAGATGACTCTGTGAGGCAGTTTGTAGCGAGGCTGTTAGTTCGGCTGCCGCAACAAAGACGTCCGCCACAGCTGCCGTGGCTGAAACGCCCCGGAAGTGGGCCGCCCTCTGAGCTGGCGTGGAGGAGGCCTGGGCTCCTGTCATCTGAGGTCCCCGGGAGCAGATTCAACACCCATTGCATTCACGTTCCAGGCAGGCAGAGAGCACGCAGGGCACCCCCTGCCTTTAAGGCACAGCCTCGAAGGTGCCCACATCGCATTGGCCGGAACTTAGCACGTGGCTGCGCGGGGGCCGAGGGACGTGGTCCTCAGCCCCGAGCAGCCACATGCCGGCCGAACTACGGGCGGGTGGGACTTAACTCACATGGTGCGGGGCTGGTGAGTGGACGGTCAGGGCCAGCTCTGCCAGACAGGCGACATCCCCCGTGTACCAGAGACGGAGGCTCTGAGGTCAGTGACCAGCCTCAGCTGTTTAGGGCCGCTCGTGGGTGAGGGGCGGAGTGGCCTCCTGCCCCGGCTGAAGCACCACCCCGTCCTCCCCCAGCCAGCGGTACTGCATCTGCAACCCCGGGGTGGTGCGGCAGTTCCGGAACCCAGACACCATCTTCATCCTGGCCTTTGCCATCATTCTGCTCAACACCGACATGTACAGCCCCAACGTCAAGCCCGAGCGCAAGATGAAGCTGGAGGACTTCGTCAAGAACCTCCGAGGTGAGCGCTGCCCTGGCCACGGCGGGACGCCCGCCCCCTCCTCACCGGCACGCACCTGACAGAGGTGCGCGCAGCACGGCCTCACGTGGGGGGGGGGGGGGTCCTCCCCGCAGGGAGCCCCG